CTGGGTTTGTGCCGTGGTATGATGGTCTGTCTCTGTGCCGTGGTATGATGGTCTGGGTCTGTGCCGTGGTATGATGGTCTGGCTCTGTGCCGTGGTATGATGGTCTGGCTCTGTGCCGTGGTATGATGGTCTGGCTCTGTGCCGTGGTATGATGGTCTGGGTTTGTGCCGTGGTATGATGGTCTGGCTCTGTGCCGTGGTATGATGGTCTGGCTCTGTGCCGTGGTATGATGGTCTGGCTCTGTGCCGTGGTATGATTGTCTGGGTGTGTGCCGTGGTATGATGGTCTGGGTGTGTGCCGTGGTATGATGGTCTGGGTTTGTGCCGTGGTATGATGGTCTGTCTCTGTGCCGTGGTATGATGGTCTGGGTTTGTGCCGTGGTATGATGGTCTGGCTCTGTGCCGTGGTATGATGGTCTGGCTCTGTGCCGTGGTATGATGGTCTGGCTCTGTGCCGTGGTATGATGGTCTGGGTTTGTGCCGTGGTATGATGGTCTGGCTCTGTGCCGTGGTATGATGGTCTGGCTCTGTGCCGTGGTATGATGGTCTGGGTTTGTGCCGTGGTATGATGGTCTGGCTCTGTGCCGTGGTATGATGGTCTGGGTTTGTGCCGTGGTATGATGGTCTGGGTTTGTGCCGTGGTATGATGGTCTGGCTCTGTGCCGTGGTATGATGGTCTGGCTCTGTGCCGTGGTATGATGGTCTGGCTCTGTGCCGTGGTATGATGGTCTGGGTTTGTGCCGTGGTATGATGGTCTGGGTTTGTGCCGTGGTATGATGGCCTGGGTTTGTGCCGTGGTATGATAGTCTGGGTTTGTGCCGTGGTATGATGGTCTGGGTTTGTGCCGTGGTATGATGGTCTGGGTTTGTGCCGTGGTATGATGGTCTGGGTTTGTGCCGTGGTATGATGGTCTGGGTTTGTGCCGTGGTATGATGGTCTGGGTTTGTGGCTTTTTGAGCTCAATGGACAGACCGTCTAGGAGACTGTTCTTCGTTCGAATGTGTACCTAGCACCAACTTATCAGTTAGGCTCTACGCCTGCTGTACCCACCTGTCTACCTACGTGCCCATCCAGATGAGCGGATCTGTTCGACAGTCTTTTATCGTCTCACTGATACCAGGTTTTAGCTCAGTGTCCTGGTTTTCTGTATTTGTCTTGCGCTTCTCGGGTGGCTTGGGTGATGGATTTGTTTCATCTCTTGGTAGGTTTCAGCTACACCATTTATACATCTATTTCTTGATCTTCCTGTCGCCTTTCTCCGAGATACAGTAGAACCTCGCTTAACGAGTACCTCTCATAACGAGTAATTCGCATAACGAGCAAAATAAATTGTAAAAAAAAAAAATGACTCACTTAACGAGCGACGTTTCGCATAACGAGTGGCGAGGAGAGGGGAAGTCCCGAATTGTGCGCATGTTACATCAATCTGTGTTCAGCACTCGTTCCAGTAGGATCGTAGTGTCTCTTGTGATCACACATTTTCTCAAACTTGTGTTTTGTTGTGATATATATACATGAATCTTCAAGGCCTACAAGATGACCTCCCTGAAGAATTTAAGTTCCTCAAGATCCAGTTTCTGCCTTCCGACACCACTCCGTTACTTGAGCCGATGGACCAGCAAGTTATTTCTAACTTTAAGAAGCTTTACACTAAAGCACTCTTCCAGCATTGTTTTCAGGTGACTAAAGGGACCAACCTCACTCTCAAAGAGTTTTGGAAAAATCACTTCCACATCGTTGCCTGCCTCAAGATGATCAACACGGCGGGGGAAGGGGTTACCAAGAGAACCCTAATTTCTACTTGGAAGAAGCTTTGGCCGGAGAGCGTTGTTGATTTGTGACTTTGAGGTGTTCGAGACGGTACCTGTGGAGCCTGTAGTCAACGAGATTGTGTCTTTGGCCACTATCATGGGATTGTAGGTGGATAACAGTGATATCGAAGAGCTTGTGGAAGAGCACAGCCAAGAGCTGACCACCAAAGAGCTTATGGAGTTGCTTTGTGTTTCACAGCAAGAAGTTTGGAAGGAAAGTTTGTCAGAGGAGGAGGAGAAGGTAACAGAAAAGCAACCATCTTCTGGCTAATAAGAACAATGCTGAAAGCATGGCAAACTGTTGCATCTTACATTGAGAAGCATCACCCTAATAAGGAAGTAGCTATGCTCGTTGCAAATTTATTTAATGATAATGCTGTGTCGCCTTTTCGCAAAATTGTGAAGCGTCTGCAAAAACAGATGTCTCTGGACATCTTTCTAGTATACAAAATAATTCGCTATGTATCATAATTATTAAGATTTTTTTTTCTCCAAATCGAATTCGCATTCCAGGTGAGTTCGTTCCGCGTTTGAAGAAAAGATGAAGATGATTTACTCTCCTTAACAATGTGTATATAATTTTATTTGAATAAACTTTATACACAGCATTTTGGAGTATTTTTTTTTTACATGGAACGCATTATCGTATTTTACATTAATTTATATGAGAAAAATGGTTTCGCATAACGAGTGTTTCGCTTAACGAGTGTTTCGCATAACGAGTGTTTCGCTTAACGAGTATGATTCTGGAACGAATTATGCTCGTTAAGCGAGGTTCCACTGTATTCTGCTGTAAAAAGTCTCATTTGCAGTTTAGATCTGGCTGCATTTTCACTAGATGGCCAAACCATTTCATTTTTTTTGTCTACCAGTATAATTCAGTTGACGGTCTTGTTCCAACACCATCTTCAATGCTGGCATTTGTTACTCTCTTCCTTCTTGGGTTGTCAGTCAGTGACCTTGCGGAGACAGCCCATTTCACATTTAGTTATTTTCTGTTCTATCGCCCTACTTATTGCCTATGTTTGTCACTGATAGCATCAAGTAAGGGTGCAGTAAGAGCCTCTTTAACGCCAGTGACAAACCCGGTATATGATGCTAGGCTCATCGGTTGTACATCAATAGGCACTCGATGGGTGAAATCATCATCAACACGTCGATCGCCTTTACTTCACAGAGCATTATCTGGTACCTGTTGTAGACTAAATCGACTTGCGAGTCGAGCTCACAAAAAATTCGTCTAGATGTGAATGTGACCCCGTGACCTTCGTGTCGCTATCCGATAAAGTGAATTCTAGTAAACAAAATAACAGAGAGCAGCAGTAGCAGCGGCAGCAGCTGGAGTAGTGGTAGTAGTAGCAGCAGCAGTAATAGCTGCAGCAACAGTAGCAGCAGTAGTAGTGCCGGTGTAGATTATGTGACAGAGACTGTCGCAGTAGACTTTACAGCCATGGAAGACGCAGTCCCCAAACCCCACGGTACTACTCCTTGTCCCCAAACCCCACGGTACCACACCTTGTCCCCAAACCCCACGGTACCACACGTTGTCCCCAAACCCCGCGGTACCACACCTTGTCCCCAAACCCCACGGTACCACATCTTGTCCCCAAACCCCGTGTTACCACACCTTGTCCCCAAACCCCACGGTACCACACCTTGTCCCCAAACCCCGCGTTACCACACCTTGTCCCCTAACCTCACGGTACCACTCCTTGTCCCCAAACCACACGGTACCACTCCTTGTCCCCAAACTCCACGGTACCACACCTTGCCCCCCAACCCCACGGTACCACTCCTTGATCCCAAACTCCACGGTACCATTCCTTGTCCCCAAACCCCACGGTACCACACCTTGTCCCCAAACTCCACGGTACCACACCTTGCCCCCCAACCCCACGGTACCACTCCTTGTCCCCAAACCTCACGGTACCACTCCTTGATCCCAAACCCCACGGTACCACTCCTTGTCCCCAAACCCCACGGTACCACACCTTGTCCCCAAACCCCACGGTACCACACCTTGTCCCCAAACCCCACGGTACCACACCTTGTCCCCAAACCTCACGGTACCACTCCTTGTCCCCAAACCTCACGGTACCACCCCTTGATCCCAAAACCCACGGTACCACTCCTTGTCCCCAAACCCCACGGTACCACTCCTTATCCCCAAACCTCACGGTACCACTCCTTGATCCCAAACCCCACGGTACCACTCCTTGATCCCAAATCCCACGGTACCACTCCTTGTCCCCAAACCCCACGGTACCACTCCTTGTCCCCAAACCTCACGGTACCACTCCTTATCCCCAAACCTCACGGTACCACTCCTTGATCCCAAACCCCACGGTACCACTCCTTATCCCCAAACCTCACGGTACCACTCCTTGATCACAAACCCCACGGTACCACTCTTTGTCCCCAAACCCCGCGGTACCACACCTTGTCCCCAAACCCCGCGGTACCACACCTTGTCCCCAAACTTCACGGTACCACACGTTGTCCCCAAACCTCACGGTACCACACCTTGTCCCCAAACCTCACGGTACCACACCTTGTCGCCAAACCCCGCGGTACCACACCTTGTCCCCAAACCTCGCGGTACCACACCTTGTCACCAAACCCCACGGTACCACACCTTGTCCCCAAACCCCACGGTACCACACCTTGTCCCCAAACCCCACGGTACCACACCTTGTCCCCAAACCCCACGGTACCACACCTTGTCCCCAAACCCCACGGTACCACACCTTGTCCCCAAACCCCACGGTACCACACCTTGTCCCCAAACCCCACGGTACCACACCTTGTCCCCAAACCTCGCGGTACCACACCTTGTCACCAAACCCCGCGGTACCACACCTTGTCCCCAAACCCCACGGTACCACACCTTGTCCCCAAACCCCACGGTACCACACCTTGTCCCCAAACCCCACGGTACCACACCTTGTCCCCAAACCCCACGGTACCACTCCTTGTCCCCAAACCCCGCGGTACCACACCTTGTCCGCAAACCCCGCGGTACCACTCCTTGTCCCCAAGGACTTAACGGTTGCCGATTTTATTAGTAGGAATAGCGGCAGGAGCAGTGTTAACAGCAACAACAGAAGAGTTTTCATTAGAAATTCATGTAATTTGTCATTGTTGACAGTATGTGAACAGTAGAGGACTCGAGAGACTTGTCTATGATATAATGGTCGGCTCTGTATCGACTGTCAAATCGACAGGTTCCCCATCTCCAACAACCTGTCCTTGGAGCTCCCCCGCCATCTGCTTCTTCAGCTGCTCCACCTGGTGCTGCTGGTACCTGGTCCTGTCCTTGATCATCCTCTCCACGATCTTGTGCATCTTGTAGGTGGCCGTGTGTCGCATGGCCCTCGTTGCTGTGTTTAAGGGCACCGGCGTCTGCAACACGTTCCGTATGGGAATGCCTGTCAGAGCTTGCAGAACCAAGTCCTCAGCGGAATGGCATAGCCCGGGTTGTCCTTCTCGGGGACGCACTTTGATATCCCTCCAGCTGTACCGACTTTTTCGTGGCGTCGTACCGACTGTGTTGCTGTTTTTAATCTCTGCCTCATTCTCATCACTATCATTCTTAGGCGTTACATAATCTGACATCTCGTTAATGTTTGGATTTATGGTGGCGGGGCTGATCGCGCGTTCTCTTTGGTAGATGGGAGACGCAGGAGCATCTTTGGGGGAATTTGAGGTTGTTGGTTTGTCTGGGCTGACCAACAGGACATCACAAACCGTCATTGTGTCATTGATGTTCTGTGATGCGGGTAGTTTCTTCAGGAACTGGGCCACTCTCACTTGAATGTCAGTTGTCTGGCTACGTGTCCTGCCTGGTAGTTTGGGCAAGGTTTGGCTTAGTTTTCTGGGCTCACAGAAAAGTTGACTTGCACAGGCTTGCTTGGCGCTCGGGAAAGTGTTTTTCTGATGACCACAGAAGTAAGCCTTCAAATCGATAACATCCAACCCCCTGTGAGAATTGGCATCATCATCATCATCGTTGTCGTCTGAGAAGTATACTTGTCTAGCAGTGGTGTTGGGTGGAACGGGTTCGAAAAGTTGGGAGGTCCTGGTGTGTCTCCCGCTTCTGCGCTTGGAAGATACAATGTTGTCGTGCATTTCATTGGTGGACTGGTCGCCATTAACGTTGATGTTACTTACCGATTTGTGGGGAGTGACTTTGTTGGAGGAAGTGCTTGTATGATTGTGGAGGGGGAAGTTTGTATGATTGGTGGAGGGAGTTGTCACCAGATTAGAGGGGACAGAGTGTGTGTGATTGAGGAGGGACGAACATGTGTGATTGCAGATGGAAGATATTTGATTGGATATGGAAATGTGTGCTTGTTTGCTTAGGGGGCGGGTTGTTGTATAGGAGAGGGAAGTATTTCTTCGGTTTTCCCAGGAGTGTTTTTGTTTAGTGTGATTATTAAGGGTCGATTGTGTGCGAGTGTAATGGGGAAGGATTGTTTGGTTGTCCGGAGACGTTGCTGGGTTCCCGAAAGAAGAAGCTGGACACGATAGGCCTGTGTGTCTGCTGAATCCTGGCTGCGTCCTTCTGCCGGGTTCTGAGAACGCTGAGACTGGTGCCAGTTTGTGGCTACCCTGTCGTAATCCGGTGCTCAGAGCTGCTTGAGGAATAACGGTTGTTGGCTTGGTGTCATGTGGGGTTCTGTTGCTGCTGCTGCTGCTTGCCGAGTGGTCGTTCTTCCTACAGTCTTCCAGTTGATGTTGCTTCAGTCTGGCCCGTGCTGTGCGGACGGTCGGAGTCAGGCTGTTGTCTCTGGTTGACCTGGGGAAGGAGGAGGTGACGCGTTAGAAGAAGTGTGGTTCAGAACGTACACCGCTGGGAACCGAGGTGGCTTAGTGGCTAGAAGCTCGCCTGCCGGTCCGAAGGTCGTGTGTTCGACTCTGCATGCAGGCGGATTTTTTTCTGGAAAAAATAATCATATTTTTTTTTCTATTTCTTTTTCTACTTCTTTTTTTTTTTCTTCTTTTTTCTTCTTCTTCTTCTTCTTCTTCTTCTTCTTTTTCTTCTTCTTCTTCTTCTTCTTCTTCTTCTTCTTCTTCTTCTTCTTCTTCTTCTTCTTCTTCTTCTTCTTCTTCTTCTTCTTCTTCTTCTTCTTCTTCTTTACCGGTTGTAAACTCCGGCAAAAAGTTCTGGCTGTTCGTCCACCTCTGGACTGTAATGGTGTCCCAGTACTTCCGCACATATCAACCGTAAAGTGTTTACCTGGGTTAGTGTGGTTAAAGTGTTTACCTGGGTTAGTGTGGTTGAAGTGTTTACCTGGGTTAGTGTGGTTGAAGTGTTTACCTGGGTTAGTGTGGTTAAAGTGTTTACCTGGGTTAGTGTGGTTAAAGTGTTTACCTGGGTTAGTGTGGTTAAAGTGTTTACCTGGGTTAGTGTGGTTGAAGTGTTTACCTGGGTTAGTGTGGTTAAAGTGTTTACCTGGGTTAGTGTGGTTAAAGTGTTTACCTGGGTTAGTGTGGTTAAAGTGTTTACCTGGGTTAGTGTGGTTAAAGTGTTTACCTGGGTTAGTGTGGTTAAAGTGTTTACCTGGGTTAGTGTGGTTGAAGTGTTTACCTGGGTTAGTGTGGTTAAAGTGTTTACCTGGGTTAGTGTGGTTAAAGTGTTTACCTGGGTTAGTGTGGTTAAAGTGTTTACCTGGGTTAGTGTGGTTGAAGTGTTTACCTGGGTTAGTGTGGTTAAAGTGTTTACCTGGGTTAGTGTGGTTGAAGTGTTTACCTGGGTTAGTGTGGTTGAAGTGTTTACCTGGGTTAGTGTGGTTAAAGTGTTTACCTGGGTTAGTGTGGTTAAAGTGTTTACCTGGGTTAGTGTGGTTGAAGTGTTTACCTGGGTTAGTGTGGTTAAAGTGTTTACCTGGGTTAGTGTGGTTAAAGTGTTTACCTGGGTTAGTGTGGTTAAAGTGTTTACCTGGGTTAGTGTGGTTAAAGTGTTTACCTGGGTTAGTGTGGTTAAAGTGTTTACCTGGGTTAGTGTGGTTAAAGTGTTTACCTGGGTTAGTGTGGTTAAAGTGTTTACCTGGGTTAGTGTGGTTAAAGTGTTTACCTGGGTTAGTGTGGTTGAAGTGTTTACCTGGGTTAGTGTGGTTAAAGTGTTTACCTGGGTTAGTGTGGTTAAAGTGTTTACCTGGGTTAGTGTGGTTAAAGTGTTTACCTGGGTTAGTGTGGTTAAAGTGTTTACCTGGGTTAGTGTGGTTAAAGTGTTTACCTGGGTTAGTGTGGTTGAAGTGTTTACCTGGGTTAGTGTGGTTAAAGTGTTTACCTGGGTTAGTGTGGTTAAAGTGTTTACCTGGGTTAGTGGGGTTAAAGTGTTTACCTGGGTTAGTGTGGTTGAAGTGTTTACCTGGGTAAGTGTGGTTAAAGTGTTTACCTGGGTTAGTGTGGTTGAAGTGTTTACCTGGGTTAGTGGGGTTAAAGTGTTTACCTGGGTTAGTGTGGTTGAAGTGTTTACCTGGGTAAGTGTGGTTAAAGTGTTTACCTGGGTTAGTGTGGTTGAAGTGTTTACCTGGGTTAGTGTGGTTAAAGTGTTTACCTGGGTTAGTGTGGTTAAAGCGTTTACCTGGGTTAGTGTGGTTTGGTGCCACATCGCTGGCAGACATAAACAACTACACGTGGTTAAACATCAGAGCTAGCGCTGAGACCGTTCAAGACCCAGCTAAACCTCAGCGCCGTCATTCCTCTAACAGGCTCCTTACTGGATGGGGGTCTGAGGGAGGAGGTGGGGGCGGGGATTTGCCATTAATAATAGGATCTACGTTTACTTGGAAGTGAAGACATCTATGAGATCGCTATGTTCAACCATGACTTGATTTTTACAATTTGGGATCCATCCAAAACCAAACACCGATTTCAGGACTTTTGGCACTTTTAGTATTCAGAATTGTAAAACATCATGAGTCCTTGCCATGCAGCAAATATTATGGAGATCTAGAAAGATTACATCGAAGACTAAACTTCGACTACTACCAAGAGCTTTCTGGCTTTTAGTACATTTACATATAGCTCGAGACGTGGGCCTTGGCAGCTGAACTCTAATAAAAGATGCAAGCATTGCAAATGATTTCTTTCAGAAACCTTCTTGGCATAACATACACAGACCACATCACCAACAACGAGGCTCACCGTGTAGTGACCCCTTAATTAACCAGAACTTTGGCAACCGTGAACCTCTTTTAACGACAGTGAAAAGGTGGCAGATGCAACGGTGCGGACATAAAAGATCTCACGACTTCTCGAGAATACTACTACAGTGCTCATTAGAGGGGGAGAGGAGGAGAGTCAGACCATGATAGACCCGGATACAGATTATGTCTGACTGGACACGCCCCAGGCACGAAGACCATCGTCTCCGACCGCCATGGTGGAGCGAGCTGATGAGGCAGTGAACGGCAAGCAGCGGGTCACCCGACACGCAGTGTTCAGGTATGATGAGATGGATGTAGTGGGTGGAGCAGTCAGGTGTGACAACGGAGACTCTTGCGAGGTAAGTTCTGTAAGTTCTGATAACGGATCGAAATCAGCACCACATAGACGGAATACATCCAGGAGACGCAGCCGGACAGAAGATACCATAACAAGTACACCTGACACAACCAATGGAGGTAAAACCACCCGGAGGACAAGGATAGCAGGGGAGCCTAGACATACAGGAATGGACAGTGCAATCGGTTAGGGACACTCAAAGCCACCAAACCTGGCATACATACTTCAGTTTCTTCCGGTAGCAATTAGCACAGATAAACAAGACCACAATTGTAACCGAATGCTGCTGGCAGCAGGTTGAACGTGGTCTACTTTTTTATTTTTTTCTCTGATGACACTGGCACTTCTAACTGGAAGCGCATCTTTGTGGGAGGTGTGGCACCAACAGGCTGCACACACACGCACAAGCCAGATCTATAGCACGGATGTGCACACGACACTCAAGTCCTGCAACATATCCAGACATACACGAACAACTAGGAATTACTGCCGTCGTTTACAGACGAATGCAGAAGAAGATGAAGTCAATAATGATGAGCTGATGGTCATGTTCAATCCTTGCTTGGTTGGTCAATGTTCGGTTGATTAATACCTCTTTTTGATGAATGTCCACAATTCTTCACCATCGTTCGTGCGAGCGACCTAATTGTGTGGTGCTTGTTTACAGCATAGCTGTGATATTTTTTTTTGCCTACACACCCAGCTTCGTTAGACATTAGGTCACCTGGTTGGTTAGCCTTCCTATTCTAATCCTGTCTACAGGGGGAGGTAATGCTACGTACAGTAGTAGGTTACTGGATGTTTAGAGTGCAAAGGGAAAGAACTTACCGTAGTCTCACTGGGAACTGCTGTCTCTTGTCCAGGTAGCACGGGGCGGTGCTGAGTCCCAAGTGTCTTTCTCTGTTGCACAGGCGTATGTCCTCATACTTCAAGTGGGCGTCCGGGTGTAAGCGTTTCTTCACCTCCAGTGCTTGTCGCTGTCGATCCAGCTGTAGGAGTCTGACCTGGTGTAGAACATATGTGCTGTCATACTAAGTCGTGTTAGTTAATTAGTCGACAGATTATCTTAATTGCACATTGAACCATTCAATCCACAACTGCTTGGAGCTCCTGCACAGTCAATATTTATGACATTTTGAAACCCCACCCCGGCTGTGGTCAGGGATATAATGTAACGGTTGGACGGGGTTTCTAGGACTGTGCCCGGGTTGTCCTCATCTGAATGGTGGCAGTTTGTATCCCCGAGTGTTGGTCAGGCGTTGTGCGGTGGCACAGTAAATCCCACAGTGTGTAGCGACTGACAGCACCAGTTCTGTGTTGGTTTATTCTTCTTCTACGGCTTCCTGCATACTGCTCTTGTCTAGCCACACCACTGCTTAACATTCTGTTCTTGCGTTCTGGTCACGGCCTTAGATTCAGTCATCAATCACTTGGTTCTCGCAACCGTCTGACTTCTCGAAAAGCATTCAGTAAATCAGCATGGTTCATGGCTTGTCCGCCGTCCACCAGTAGCTTTACCAGCAAGCCGATCAGCTTGCTCATTACCTTGGACGCCTGAGTGGCCTGGCACCAATATGAAACTGATGTGTGCGAGCCCCGACCGCCTCAGAGACACCAGCCACTGTCTTTGGTCCCAGCCCATCTCTGCCTTCCTGCTGATGCCTGTATGTAGGGCACACAACAGGAACCACATGCTCGTACTTACCCATATAAAACTGCAAGTTACACCAGCTGTGGCCCTCTCTCTCTCTCTCTCTCTCTCTCTCTCTCTCTCTCTCTCTCTCTCTCTCTCTCTCTCTCTCTCTCTCTCTCTCACACACACACATATTTTTCACACACCCCCCCCCCCCCACCTTTCCCTCAGCTAATCGAAATGATGACCAGTCTGATATTGCCAGAAGGGAGCCAGAATTCTGATAATAAAGATTAACTCTTAGTTTACCACTTACTCTTTAAGGTGGATAACAAGCCGACACCACCACCACACCCCCCCCCCCCAACTTTTTTTCTTCAACTTACCAAACTTGACTTATAGTAATGTCAGCAGTTGTAACTCTGCAAGTCTAAGTTATATAAAATTTATGCATTCCAAATTATATAACATGGATGCTAGTCCAAATTATGTAGCATGGATGCAAGTCCAAATTATGTAACATTGATGCAAGTCCAAATTATATAACATTGATGCAAGTCCAAATTATGTAACATTGATGCAAGTCCAAATTATATAACATTGATGCAAGTCCAAATTATATAACATTGATGCAAGTCCAAATTATATGACATTGATGCAAGTCCAAATTATGTAGCATGGATGCAAGTCCAAATTATATAACATTGATGCAAGTCCAAATTATGTAGCATTGATGCAATTCCAAATTATTTTACATTGATGCAAGTCCCAATTATGTAACATGGATGCAAGTCCAGGTTATATAATATTGATGCAAGTCCAAATGATATAACATTTTTGCAAGACCAAATTGTCTAACATTGATGCACTTCCAAATTATCTAACATTGATGCGTTATATTTCCGATCAGTGTATGTGCTCATCACTTTTAGTGTTCTGTCTGGTCATTTGTTAAAATGTTGTGGGGGGGGGGGCGCATTCAAAAGACAGCATCAAAATAACAGTGAATAGAGAGAAACGTGGCCGTGACCGCTGGTATATACTTTAGAATCTAGATCAAGTACACGGGGAGAAGTAGGCAGAACAGGAGCAGAAGGAGGAGGAGTAGAAACATATGTTGTAGCATCTACCTCATGTCGAAGTGTGATGGAATGGTCCAGGAGTTGCCTGAGTCGCCTGGTCCTCTGGTTGTCCAGTCGAGACCTGGTGAGGTTGAAGTGGTTTTGGCACACCCTGTTCTTGATGCTGGTGACCGTCTCAGTGAGCGAGTTCTTCTTCAGCATCTCGCTGATGGCCGTTTGCTGCGTCTCCTGGTAGGCGTTCACTGCCAGTGTCTCCGAGTCCATGATGAAGAAGTTTCCTAACGAGAGAAAGGGGAGCAAAGTTGGTTGGCTAATTAGTTAGTTGGCTAAGCTAGATAGTTAGTAAGTCGACAGATGATCCTCATTGCACACCGAACCATTCAGTCCATAAGTGCTCGGATCCCCTCCTCAGTCAATCCCCCAGCGTGTAGCGGCTGACGACACCCGTTCTGTGCTGATTTCTGTTTCTTCTTTGGCTTTCTGCAGTGTTCTTGTTGAGAACTATGTGAACGTGTGTGACGAAAACAGGATTGTGCTGTCTTCTTCTGGGCTAGTGCTGTGGCAGCAGACAGGATTGTGCTGTCTTCTTCTGTGCTAGTGCTGGGACAACTGACAGGATTGTGCTGTCTTCTTCTGGGCTATTGCTTTGGGAAGGTTAGCCAGGGCAACGAATTCCCGAAGAAGTCGGATGTGTCGACCGAAAAGCGCAGATGTCACAGCCAGTGTGTAAACAGGTGTGGACAAACAACAACATTGATGATGTATGGTCACAATTGAGACGAGAAAGAAAATTCTCAAGGGTTGTATAAATCCTATCCTGGTATATGGAAGTGAATCAAGGACATATGGACGATAAATGAAAACTTTTTTCGGAAGCGGCAGTGATGTGGTTTTATACACGAATGATGAGAATACCCTGGATGTCTATAAAGAGAAACGAAGATGTCTTGAAAGAAACTGACTCACGAAGAGAACTGATTGCCGTCCACATCAGAAGAAGTCAATCAAGATTCTTTGACCATGTCATGAGATGGAGAAAACTGGAGTACATCGTGACGGTAGGAAAGTTAAAGAGCAAAAGATGTAGAGGAAAGCTGGGAGAGAAGATACTGGGTGGTTGACATCATGGCAAGGAAGATCATCTGTGTCAAAACTGATTGACAGTACATGAGACAGAGGGTTTTACTTAGACATGACTACCAACGCCACAAGGTATGGACTGATTGACAGTACATGAGACAGGGTTTTAGTTAGACATGACTACCAACGCCACAAGGTATGGACTGATTGACAGTACATGAGACATAAAGTTGGGATAGACATGACTACCAACGCCACAAGGTATGGAAGATCATCTGTGTCAGAACTGATTGACTATACATGAGACAGAAGGTTTTAGATAAACATGACTACCAACGCCACAAGGTATGGAAGATCATCTTTTCAGAACTAATTGACAGTACATGAGACAGAAAGTTTTGGATAGACAAGACTACCAACGCCACAAGGTATGGAAGATCATGTGTATCAGAACTGATTGAAAGTGCACCAGACAGACAGTTGTGGCTAGACCTGCCACACGGCATGGACTATGAGAAGACGTGAGGACAGGACACATGGCTTACCTAGCTGGAAGAAGAGCTTAACCCCGGGGAAAAGTTCCCCGTTCTGCATGATAACCTGGGTAGCTCCGTTCTCTGTGTGTTTGGTGAAAATCCTGGACGCGATTTGAATTTGTGAACTGTTTTATTGTAGCAAGTCTTGTTGAGTTATTCCAGTATTCAACTCGAGTTATTGGAATACATCTCGTCCCTGTGAATTATTTGAATGTCTCTTCTTGTTGATAAATGATATTTGTCTCGACTTGTTGGGTGATTCCAGTATGTCTTGGTGAGTTATTGGAATATGTCTGGTGTTGTTTCATTTTTCGAATATATCTCTTCTTGGTGAATTATTTTATTGTGTGTCTTCTTGAAGCGCTATTCGGATCTGTCCCGTCTTGTTGCATTATTTCAGTATATCTGGGTGAGTTATTGGAATTTTAACTCCTTTCGATGAATTATTTGAAAATTTTCTTGCTGAATTATTCAAATATATCTTGTTTTGGCAAATTATTTGATCATAGCGCTAATCGATCAACTGTCCAAAGATCCCTTTTTTGGGAGCTACTAACACATTACCAGTCCTCGTGGTCTTTTTGTCTGGAGCCAATCAAATATGTCCATACAGTATGTGTCAATAAACTACAATTTTCCAATACAGCTCCTCATGGTGAACTTTACAACTTCCTAAATATACAGACTTGTGTAAATATTTATTTTAAAAAATCAGGAACCAGGTCTTACAGTTAGTTTACTATACCCATTTACCTAAATACTAGAATATAACCAAGATTAACCACTTGAATGTGACCAGTCCTAATTAACCACTCGAATGTAACCAGTCTCGATAAACCACTCGAATGTAACCAGTCTTAATTAATCACGCGTATGTAACCAGTCTCGATTAACCACTCGAATGTAACTAGCCTTGCTTAATCACACGTATGTAACCAGTCTTCATTAACCACTCGAATGTAAGCCTTGATTAGCCACTCGGATGTAACCAGTCTTACTTAATCACTTGGATGTAACCAGTCTTGATTAGCCACTTGGATGTAACCAGTCTTGATTAACCACTCGGATGTAACCAGTCTTGGTTAGTCACTCGCATGTAACCAGTCTTGATTAATCACTCGCATTTAACCACTCTTGCTTAATCACTCGGATGTAACCAGTCTTGATGAACCACTCGAATGTAACCAGTCTTGATTAACCACTCGAATGTCACCAGTCTTGCTTAGCCACTCGAATGTAACCTGTCTTGATTAGCCACTCTGATGTAACCAGTCTTGATTAACCACTCTAATGTCACCAGTCTTGCTTAATCACTCGAATATAACCAGTCTTGATTAGCCACTCTGATGTAACCTGTCTTGATTAGCCACTCTGATGTAACCTGTCTTGATTAGTCACTCGGATGTAACCAGTCTTGATTAATCACTCGCATTTAACCATTCTTGCTTAATCACTCGGATGTAACCAGTCTTGATTAATCACTCGCATTTAACCACTCTTGCTTAATCACTCGGATGTAACCAGTCTTGATGAACCACTCGAATGTAACCAGTCTTGATTAACCACTCGAATGTATCGAGTCTTGATATTTGATTAACACGCGATCACCAAGATGATAATGTACACAATGTCCCTTAGAATAGGAACACCATCGTCTGCAGCTGTCACAGGGGCGATTGTATCTTATGTTTAATCTCATCTGGTACCACGATCGTATCCTGGGGGGAAGAGGGGGGGGGGGAGGGTACGCACTTTCTGTAGCACTTGTATATGTGGACATTGATAGCTGGCGGACGTCTGCTGTTTGTGCGGGCCTGATACTGCTGTCACTTGACGACACAAACTAGGACTGCAGTACGTACCAAAAGTCGTGCCGGTACACTTGAACAAATATCGCCACATCTCCTGTACCGATCAACACCAGTTTGTGCATGTGTCCTCTGGTTCTTGTGAGTTTATAATTTACAAGTGCACAGGTGCTGCTGTTTTCTTTAAAGCCACGAATTTCTTTGATCTATTATTATTATTTTTTTTTTTCGACAGATAATTTGTTTACTCCCAAAAAAAATCGAATATACAGAAATGGACACATGCGTAGAGTATTGTTTGGAATTTAGTTCACATTTTCATAGCTTATCCTGCATACAATGATAAATTGTGTTCCTGTAACTGACGAGAAACAAACGCTGGAGATAACCATCTGAGAGAGAAACGCCTCTAAAACATGTGCAGTTTGATGTTTGGAAAAGGTCTCCTTACTCAGTTAACTGTAAGCAAGCCGAATCTTTTTTTCTTTCTTTCTGTATGCCGCAAATAAAGCAAAATGCCAGGTCCAAGTAGCGAGGGGGGGGGGGGGGGGGGGTTGAAAGAATCAAAACACAAGAATTTCAGATTCCTGTATTTTTTTTTTTTTTTTGGGTTGGTTTGTTTGTTTTATTTTGACGGGGACTCTCCTTCAAATCCTTCCAAACAATAACATCCCATCTTCCCTTCTCCAGAAGGTAAAGTGAGGTTACATTTTCATTTATTTCATCCAGTTCCTTTTGTATTTATGTATTTTAGTATTACGCAATATGGACAAGATTGTATACATCACCATCAAATTTCAGTAACAGTCGGTTGTAGGTGTTGTGTGTGTACGTGGGAACAGATTAAACATTTCCCCTTCATTTGTAATGGGAACATTCGTTTGGTATACGTACTGTTTGGTATACGTACTGTTTGTTATACCTCCAAGGATCTGGAACCTACTAAGTACGTATCCCGAAGTAGCACTGTAGGTGTCATTGCTAGCCGCCTAAAACACAAACCTCACAGGAGGCCGTGTGACAGACATTCCTGTCCCCATTTCTCACACACCAGATCGCAGAATTGGGCCTCTTGGCGCCCCCTCCCGTCTCCAGGTGGATTTAAATGCTGTCAGTTCTACAGCCTGTATGACACTGCTTGTACGTCTGTGTGCCTACCTCCCAGGCCGCAGGTAAACTCCGTGTTTATTTATTGTCTTATAAAGTAATCTTGTAAGATCTTGTCGTTTGATCAGATACCTCTCCTTTCCGGTTGTATTCCGCCAGCTAGGGTCTACTAGGGTCTACTATGTGCACTTTGTACAAACAATCAGCCGATAAATGTGTTAATGGTACCAACTTTGTGCTATCAGCACTGGGGTTTCACGGGCCCCTGAGTCTTTCTTTTTTGGGGCACTTGCCAAGTTTAGGAATCACTACAACAGACGGTCTGGTTACACGACCACAACCCAGATCACGCAGTCACGATGGCCAAAGCCTGTATCGGTTGACCTGTCCAGATGTTCAGCAGCAGAAAGAAAAGGAGGTTAATTCTACCCTCAAACTCTTTTCCTGGAAAAATTAGAGTTTGAGCTGTCACCGTGGCATGAGTGCAACCTAGCAAGGGGGCCAACTAACAATGCGAAAACATTCAGCGCACGATGAGGGAGTTTCTCTTCCCCCACTCCAGCCCGCCCCCTTTTTTTTTTCTTTCCCGGGCGCTAGTTGGCAAAAAGCAGAGATGTCGAAACTATTTCAGGAATACTAGCAATTTTGTTTTTGGAAATGTAACCAAGACACACCGAAAGGTACCAAATTTATAATTGTTATTTAAGAAACTGTAAACATACACACACATTATATATATATATATATATATATATATATATATATATATATATATATATATATATATATATATATATATATAAAACTGGTTCCCCTTATATTTGACCAGAATTAAAATTCTTCGTCCATTACATCATTACCGTATTATTTTCCCCGCTCAGTTCATTAGAAAGTTGTAGTGGCGGGATTTCAGTTGGCACAATTAATGTCTTGGAACAATAGCTTTAATCTAAACACCCCCCCCCCCAATACCTTCTTTATTTGTTCGTAAAGTTCTTCTTTAAGAGTGGCGAGAAATGTCCTAGCCAATGGTGTAACTGACATTGGTCTTCTTTCAGTAACACTTATTGGATCTAGCGTACAGTGCCAGCATTTCACATACCAAGGCAACGTACCAAAACAGCGGAGGTGGTAGCAGAAGAACAGTTTTGCTACCAACTTTGGCAGCCCTGGTCCAGAGGCGCGATCTGTCAGCTGGAGAATAGCCCTGGAAGCTGGCTGGCCACAGACTGGACAGATGTTGACTGGACGTCCTGTCACGCCATCTGTCGGTCCCACAACTAGTCGACCAATGTCACCACCCCAGCTGCTGCTACAGCAATACCACCACCACCACCACTGTTACTGCTACTACTACTGTTGCCGTGGAGGAGCTCATTAGGGAGGAGCTAGCCTTATCACAGGAAGAGAGAATGCAACCTGAAATCGTTATGTTATGGCAAGGCAGACCAGGTCCATGGCCTTGGAGGGAAGCTCCCACAGGCGGACACATAGAGAACTGCTCTTCTTACCCGGCAGCTTCTGCAGCCATCTTTGTTCCAGACGTATTAGTGCTACCTTTCCTTTGGAGTAAACAAAGTAAAGTATCATGATGCATGGGCAGTACACGGTCTCTACAAGACTGCCAACTGACGAGGAAGAATTTCGTCCCTGGCCTTAGTTTGATGGCCATGGGCTCAGAGTCCTAAGCCTCCTCATGGCGCAGTATAACACAACCGGGTCCTATTCACGTTTCCCGGCCCATCTACACACTTTCTGGGCTAGGTCAGAGGGGTGTCACCTTATACTGTTTTCTTCAACAAGTCTCTCATGAGACCTAGGCTCAGGCTGTGGGTAAGAGACTTTAGGTTAGGGCCAGTTCTAGATGTTCTGGGGTCGTTAAAAACTGTGTCGACGTGTAGTAAATAGAACACGCGACATCGGCGCTGATGTAATTGGAGGCTAGCCAACAGGACACCCCTCTGACGTAAAACAGTCTGAGAAACCATGAATGAAAGGCCAGCCATGTGTAGATGGGCTCGGAAACGTGAATAGGACACACTGTTGTCTGGAAAATCGGAAAGGTGACAACAACAACTGTTGGTACTACTACTGCTGCCACTACTACCACTACTGCAGTTGCTGTTAGTACTACTGCTCCAACTGCTGCTGCTTCTTCCGTGACTGTTGCATAACGACAGTAACAACAGCACCAGCAACCACTAGTACTATTTCAACAACTGTCACCACCACTATCGCTACTACTATCAATACCACTACTACTTCTGCTTTGGCCACTAGTACTACTACTGCTGCTACTACCACTACTACTGCCGCCACCTCTACTACCACTATTATTACTACTACGGCCACTACTACTGCAACAACCATTAGTACTACCACTACTTCTACTGCTACTACTACTACTACTACTACTACTTCCGGCCACTGCTACTACAACTACTACTACCACCACTGCTACTAGCCTACTTTTACCATCTCTTTTATTTCTCTCTTTAACTCTGTTTGCATCCCTAGCCCCTCCAAAACCTCGGCATTTGACTGTTTTTTGTTTGTCATAACACAACATATTCTTCTGTTTGTCCACAGTTTCCTTGAAACAACTTATTCTTCTGTTTGTCCACAGTTTCTATAGACGTTGTTTGGGGTTGAATGTTGAATTAAGAATCGACATCATAGCACTCGGAAAACTCCCATAAACGCTCTGTCCCCATCTTTAACGGCAAGATCATTTTCCTTGTTTGTATTTAGACATATTGTATAGTATTTCTCCCTGTGGGTTCCAGTGCAGACATGTGGTGGTGGTGTTTTAATAGACACATTGACCATAAATAAACAAACATGTCTTTAAGACCATGTCTCATGCGAAATGTACAGAAAACAGAACGAGTCACCTGCCCTCTTAAGGGCAACAGAAGAAGGAAACTTGAATTGATAGATAGATTGATACATTCACCGTTTGTGTCGGGTCGGTCTTATCAGGGATTGATCGATCTGATACATTGTGTGGGATTTGTGATTGGATTACCTGACTTAGCAGACGATTGATCCTCTGTGGGTTTTTCGATCACTTAAATAAACGTAGGATTACATCAGTTCTGGGTTGTCCTGGGTTACAAGTATATACTAGCAGTGTTTCTCCTTCTGCGTTCATTTGGGGAGGTAAATGCATTGTACCCGTTTACAGCCTTCTTGTGATATATGCCCATTTTGGCCGACACATCCAACTTCTGCAGGCATTCGTTGCCAGGATTGTTTTGTGGGGCATTTACTGGCATTGTGGGAAGTTGATGTGAGGTCTGTTTGAGGGATGAATCTGCTGGTTCTGCCTTAGTTACAGATGGCCGGCCTAATGGTGGCACCAATATTGTTAATCCTTTAGTGAGAAAGGATGACTGAAGGATGTTGGTAGCCGAGTGTCCACATTACTGATAAGAAGGCAAGTAAAGATCAGCACAGCTAGGCACGAGAGGCACACCTGGCATACAAAAAGTCTTCTTAAACGACTGGAGCTGTTAACTACGGGATGCTGATGTATATGTTGAGTGGAGAATCTGAGCACCTATGGACGTGTCCAGAGTGCCATGAAGATAACTCATAACTAGAATACACCTGCTTCTTTTCCTCCTCCGCTTTTCCTCTTCTTCTTTTTCTTCTTCTCCTCACCCCCACCCGTCTCTTCCTGCTCTGTCTCATCGAGTTTCCTTCAGCATCACCATCACCGTGTAGATGATGTGTAGCAGCACTGAATGCCTACATGTGTCTGTTACAGGTGACACATTGGGCCTGCTGTTGGACGTGGACAGACAGTACCTGGTGTTCTACCTCAACGGCGACCCCTTGCCTAGCTATAAGCAGCTGTTTACACATGCCAAGTGGGTGATACCTAACTACATCCTCACCTAACTACATCCTCACCTAACTACCTCCTCACCTAACTACCTCCTCACCTAACTATCTCCTCACCTAACTACCTCCTCACCTAACTACCTCCTCACCTAACTACCTCCTCACCTAACTACCTCCTCACCTAACTACCTCCTCACCTAACTACCTCCTCACCTAACTACATCCTCACCTAACTACATCCTCACCTAACTACCTCCTCACCTAACTACATCCTCACCTAACTACATCCTCACCTAACTACATCCTCACCTAACTACCTCCTCACCTAACTACCTCCTCACCTAACTACATCCTCACCTAACTACATCCTCACCTAACTACCTCCTCACCTAACTACCTCCTCACCTAACTACCTCCTCACCTAACTACATCCTCACCTAACTACATCCTCACCTAACTACCTCCTCACCTAACTACCTCCTCACCTAACTACATCCTCACCTAACTACATCCTCACCTAACTACCTTCTCACCTAACTACCTCCTCACCTAACTACCTCCTCACCTAACTACATCATCACCTAACTACCTCCTCACCTAACTACATCCTCACCTAACTACCTCCTCACCTAACTACATCCTCATTTAACTACATCCTCACCTAAGTACATCCTCACCTAACTACCTCCTCACCTAACTACCTCCTCACCTAACTACCTCCTCACCTAACTACCTCCTCACCTAACTACCTCCTCGTCTAACTACCTCCTCACCTAACTACATCCTCACCTAACTACATCCTCACCTAACTACATCCTCACCTAACTACATCCTCACCTAACTACATCCTCACCTAACTACATCCTCACCTTACTACCTCCTCACCTAACTACCTCCTCACCTAACTACATCCTCACCTAACTACCTCCTCACCTAACTACCTCCTCACCTAACTACCTCCTCATCTTACTACCTCCTCACCTTACTACCTCCTCACCTTACTACCTCCTCACCTAACTACCTCCTTACCTAACTACCCCCTCACCTAACTATCTTCTCACCTAACCACCTCCTCCCATAACTACCTTTACACTTAATTTCCTGGGCACTGTGTATTCCCTTCAGCTGTCATATATTTCCTTATGCTGTCATGTTTTCTCTCATGCTGTCACACAATCCCCCTTAGCTGTCCAGTAATCCCCATGTGCTGTCATGTATTGCAGGTCTGGTTTCTTTGCTGCCGCCAGCTTCATGTCTTTCCAGCAGTGCGAGTTCAACTTTGGGGCCAAACCTTTCCACTTTCCGCCGCCCCTTCAGTTCAAGACCTTCAACCAGTTTGGCTACCTGAGGCCGGAGGAGAAGATTGTATTGCCTAGGTGAGTGTGGGTTAGCGGTATGTATGGTCAGTTGACAGTGAGCAAATGGCAGATAGATCATTTATTCTGAGTATATTTCTTTGGTCTCTCTGATAAACATGTCCTAAAAGACTACGGTGACACAACAGTGAAACTGTGCAGTGTTCCCCTTATCTACATGGCAAAGAGGGAAGCTCTCAGCGACAGGAGGGAAGCTCTCAGCGACAGGAGGGAAGCTCTCAGCGACAGGAGGGAAGCTCTCAGCGACAGGAGGGAAGCTCTCAGCGACAGGCAGAAGCACTGTTTGCATTTATCGCAGGGAGGATTACCTAGCAACTGTTCATATTGGTACCCATTCCTTGGTGATTGTGTTGCAGAGATCTCTTTCCCCCGTCGCTAAGCTCAGACACCAGAAGTTTGTGGAAATCCTACAAGAAAACTTTTGCAGCATTGGAGTGAGTGAGGATCCTGGTAAAAATGATGATTCTTAAGATGTTAGGCTCCCCATATAGTTTAAGAGCCACATTTGTGGACCGGGCCCTCATTGTGAAGGGATAGGGGATAATATCCATTGCCAGTCCCCCCCCCCCCCCCCCCCTCTTTCCCCCAAGAAAGAGGCATGTCATGAAAGGAAACTAATGAGGAGTGATTCCTTTAAAGTCAGTGCCTCTGACTGAGACGTGAGCAAACAGCAGTCTGACTACAAATAAGCCAGATCTGTAACATGGAGGTGTATGCAAAATTCCAGTTCTGGAAGAAGACCCTAGTCCAGAAGTAGGTAAAAGCCAGAATTTTTCCAATAGATTTTACAGTAAATTCTGTATACTTGATTTATGATTAGTATATATTGTATGTATAGTTGATCATTAGTATATTATAAATGTATACTTTGTTTATCATTACCATATTACTATATTTTGTGCATATACCTTTTTTATCATCAGAATTTTTTAATGTATACTTTATCATACGAATATTTTGTATGTGTTATCATTATGTGTGTGTGGTTTATCACATACTTTGCCATATGTGCATATCTGTTATTACATTATTTGTGTGGGTGGATGGGGGGGGGGGGGGGGGGGGGGGTCCATTTAAACAAAATGAAATATTAATACAAACACTTTTGAAGAGGATTTGTGTAAATGATTGAAGGGGACCTCTTACTCATGCTATGTTACCTGCCCTGGTTGGGGCGTGTCTATCGCAAGGAGGAGGGCTTCATTCTATGGCCTGTATGGTGAACTGATGACAGGGGGAAGGTCTGCAGGAAGTCTTTAAAGATGTATACAAACATGACCTTAACAATCGCAACATTGACACAAACACTAGGGAGACAGATCAGCTGCACACCAACCACTTTGGAGGCAGACAGTGAAGGACAGACTGTGGCATTTGAAAGAAGTCAAACACCTCAAGCTGTGGACTCAAGCTGTAGAGAGAAGACATCTGAGGTCACACCAGCCTCACAAGGATAGTTTGGGTGTCGACTGTGTGGCAGAGACTGCCACTCTCTCATTGGACTTTACAGTCACACCAGCCTCACAAGGATAGTTTGGGTGTCGACTGTTTGGCAGAGACTGCCACTCTCTCATTGGACTTTACAGTCACACCAGCCTCACACAAGGATAGTTGGGTGTCGACTGTTTGGCAGAGACTGCCACTCTCTCATTGGACTTTACAGTCACACCAGCCTCACAAGGATAGTTTGGGTGTCGACTGTTTGGCAGAGACTGCCACTCTCTCATTGGACTTTACAGTCACACCAGCCTCACAAGGATAGTTTGGGTGTCGACTGTTTGGCAGAGACTGCCACTCTCTCATTGGACTTTACAGTCACACCAGCCTCACAAGGATAGTTTGGGTGTCGACTGTTTGGCAGAGACTGCCACTCTCTCATTGGACTTTACAGTCACACCAGCCTCACAAGGATAGTTTGGGTGTCGACTGTGTGGCAGAGACTGCCACTCTCTCATTGGACTTTACAGTCACACCAGCCTCACAAGGATAGTTTGGGTGTCGACTGTTTGGCAGAGACTGCCACTCTCTCATTGGACTTTACAGTCACACCAGCCTCACAAGGATAGTTTGGGTGTCGACTGTGTGGCAGAGACTGCCACTCTCTCACTGGACTTTACAGTCACACCAGCCTCACAAGGATAGTTTGGGTGTCGACTGTTTGGCAGAGACTGCCACTCTCTCATTGGACTTTACAGTCACACCAGCCTCACAAGGATAGTTTGGGTGTCGACTGTTTGGCAGAGACTGCCACTCTCTCATTGGACTTTACAGTCACACCAGCCTCACAAGGATAGTTTGGGTGTCGACTGTTTGGCAGAGACTGCCACTCTCTCATTGGACTTTACAGTCACACCAGCCTCACAAGGATAGTTTGGGTGTCGACTGTTTGGCAGAGACTGCCACTCTCTCATTGGACTTTAGCAGACGCTGTTCCCAAAACCAGAGGCACAGTTCTAAGGTCCCCAGGGACTGACAGTTGCCTACTACTTTGTCCTTCTACAAAATAATTCGATGGTGACCCCAGGGTTACAAGGGGCTATATCTATACATGCATCCTGTACGTGTTGTTGTTATTACATATACTATTTACATATATAGGTAAATTATGAACGTGTTATATGCTATCACCTTACACGAGGACATGTGTCTGTGATAAGTACATTGTATACGTATTGTCTGTGATCACCATACTTTAGTACGTGTCTATATTTCTACATGTAGGCATAAAAAAATGGCGCTGATGAATCAGTTTGTGGTCAGCGACGATGCCTGCACCTTGTGTTTTGATCATATTGCTGACACCCAGCTGCTACACTGTGGCCATAGGTAAAGTATAGTTTTGTTTTGTTAGAATTATGCATCTGTAGAGTATAGGCTCCAGTGGACCAAGAGGTGAGGAAAAGACGCTGGCGTTGAATAGGACACACACTGAGAAAACAGGAGAACAGCATAACTAGAATTTCTTTGCATAGGAACCCACAGGGGCATAGGAATAAAGGAAGGCCAAAAAACACACGGAGAAGAGAGCTGGAGAATGAGGTTAGAAAGATGGGGAGTACATGGGGAGAGCTCCATGCAATGGCGAAGGATAGAATGACTTGGCATGAGTTGGTTGAGGGCCTATGCTCCATTGGGGATAGAAAGGCAGAAGAAGAAGAAGAAAGAGTATAGTATTGAATTATATAAAGTACAGTTTTATTTAATAGGCATTAGTAAAGGATTGTTTTGTAAGAAATATTATCTGTAAATTAATTTTATTTTTTAAACAGTAAGCATAAGTAAAGTATTTTGTTTGGTAAGAAATAGTAATGGGGGAAGTATGTGTTTTGTAAGAAGTATCCAAAGGTCAAGATTAGTTTATTTTGCGAGTAGTAGTCATACAGAAAATATAAGTTTGTTTTGTAAGAATTAGTCACAGGTAAAATATAGTTTGTTTTTTGAGAATTACTAATGTGTGAAGTATTTTGTAGTTTTCATTTGGTAAAGAGTAGTCAGAGATAAAGTATTGTTTTGTAAGACAGATATCATAAGTAAAGTATAGTTTTGTTTTGTCATTGGGCTGAGAGAGACTGAGGCATGTGGGATCAATCCAGTGCAGTGAAGTCGATTCCTTAATCTTAAAACTGGTCACCTGTCACTTCAAGTAAACTAGATCTGGTTATTTCTTTTTAAGACAGTATTCCATAAATGCAGTGTAATCCACAGAGACCTGTTTTAAAAAAGCATAGTAAAATGTCATTGGTTCTGTTTGTGCCTGCACAGGGTTTAGGTGCCCAGGATGTGGATATATTAATATAAAATAGCATTGGGGGAGGCCCTGTGAATCAAATAGCTTTTATAAAGCCAAGCTGGTGTCAGATTTTCCTGTAAACTTAATTGATAGAAGTCACAAGGTCACGGCATGAGTCACCTGATGCATACTTTTTAAAATCAGAAGTTAATATAGATTTGTTTTGTAAGAAATAGGTATCACAAAAGGATTTTTTTTAAATTTCTTCCTCTTCATATTATTATTATTATTATTATTCTCCTCCTTCTTCTTCTTCTTTTTTTTCTTCTTTTTCTTCTTCTGTATTCATGCAAAGAATGAATGACATGTGCCCGTTTAGAGCATAGCTGCGAATTTGCGCCTTTCGGCCGACACATCTGACTTAATTTTTTCTTTTTTTTTAAAGTAGTCTTATGTAAATATATGCCCGGCTCTCTAGGGAAGTTGGTTAAACCTGACTTTCGCTGCGGCCGGGTGACGAACTCCTTGTGGTCCGGGTTCACTCCCGGGGTTGGCAGAAAAGCCACATTTCTCCCAGATTAACGGTACCTATAATGGAATCTATGCCAAAGGGTTTGCGATATCCATAGTACCAAGCCAAAGGATTTACAACTCATGGTTTCTGGATACGTTAAAAAAAAAAAAATTTAAATATATTTGTTTAAAGGTTGGTATTGCCCTGTGTGTTCCAGGCCCTATTAGAAAGCGGTGGGGGGGGGGGGGGGGGGGGGGGGGGTGGGGGGGGGGGGGGTGGGGGGGGGCAAAGAATGAATCCATGGCTTTTGGTGAACGAATAAGACTGCAGTCGCTCTTATTTATTGTCAAGTAGATATCTGAATGGACCGATTAAGAACTCATCTGTCTCTCTCTCCACAGAGGTTTCTGTGAGGTCTGCGCCCTGCAGCTCGAAAAGTGCCCAATCTGCAGGAAGGAGATTCTAGAGCGAGTTCGCTGCCATGGTGACGTCAGCTCCCAGATGCCAGTTCAGTCCCTGATACCCACAGCGGCTGTGTAGTCTTGACATCACAGACAACATTAACCCATCTCTGGTCCTAGGGGCGGTTGCTTCCATTTGTTAACCCATGCCTGGTGAGGTCACGGCTAGGCTGCTTCCATTGGTTGAGACTGTCACTGCTGTTGTGTTTAATTCTGGCATATTTGTTGTCTCCGGTTGTGGAGGTGGTGGGGGGGCGATAGTGAGAGATGAGAGAAAGTCAGACAGGCAGACAGACAGAGTGATAGGGAGTCAGTCTGAGAGAAAGTGACAAACAGTTTATCCAAAAGAAAAAGACAGGCATTTGGAGTTGGAGATACAGAGTGAGTGAGAAACAGAGCCAGCCAGAGGGACAGATAATCATAGAGAAAGAGACCCACAGAGTGACAGACAGGCATAGTGTGAAATCATGTCGGTGCTGCTTCGCAGTGGGATCATGAGGGAGGGCATGAAGATCATCTTATGGAAGTGTTTAGTCAAGTAAAAATAAAGAGCCCTTTTCACTCATCAGGCATATGGGCAGGGAAATATTTACTACTTCCTTAATTAGTCACCCCTCTTCTACCAGACTTCTTTATCTGCAGTTTTCTTTCTGGCACTCCTCTGTCAGTCAGGGACTGTCAGAAGTTACCTCCCCAGTGAACCCTGGGTCATCCTCCTGGTTCTTGGCTTCCCATGCCTGCCGTGGGGGCTGGTTCTCTCCCAGTCTACAAACATGTCCAACCCATCCTAACTGTGACTGATCCATTCGGGTTAGTAAGGCCTGGGTTTCAAGATCTTAATGTATTGTCTGATTGTGGACTTTGTCCCTTCTTGTCACGTGGACCACCTTTCTCAGATATCTCATTTCCGAGGCCTGCAGCTGGCTTCTGTGAGCTGTTGTCATTGCCCATGACTTACACCCGTAGATCAGGACTGGTACATAGGTAAAGTGGAAGACAGCCATTTTCGTCCTCTTGCCAATTTCTCTTTTGCTAAAGAAACCCTCGGTTTATGGCCTGGAAGAGTCTCCCAGCAGCTGCTTTTCGTGTAGCCAGCTGTGTCTTAATGCCTCCATTTCTGTCTATTACAACTCCAAGGTATTAGAACTGACTGACCTGCTTCAGTGCATACTGTCCCATCATGATCTGGTGTTTCCTAAAGGAAGTGTTTATCGAATGTTTATGTGAGAATTGTATACATGTGTTGCACATTATACTTCAAGTTAACACATAGAGTGCCAAGCTCTATGTGTGGTTCCGGGACCCCATTGTGGGAGAGAGAACAAGACAAGACCCACTGCCTCCCTAATGAGCAGGACGTAAAATAGTGACTGTCTATTTATGGTTTTGTTAAAATCAGATGTATAGGGCCGAAACCTGCACCTATCACAGCCTAGCTGTAAACAACAATGCAAGGTAGCCACCATTATTTTAAGGGCAAACGTAGAATTGTAGATTGTGTGATAATGTGAGGCTAACCACTTCTGGTTTGGTTTGATATCATTTCATGGCAAAGAAGCAGAAAACATCGTAAGTCAGGCATAGAACCTTATGTTTATATACATACCTGCTGACTTCTCTACACTTAGTCCTAGTCTTTGTCGAGGTTTCAGCATCACTGCAGTCGGGTTTCCCCATACTTGTTCCACTTCTCTGCCAGTAAAACTTACTTACTTACTTACTTAGTCGCTCCTCTTCTACCTTGGGGTGTAGAGGTTTGCCAGAGAGATCGCCAGACGTCTCTATCAGCAGTTTTCTTTCTGGCTTTGTTCCATTCCAGTCCTCTGTCAGTCAGGGACTGTCGGATGTTGTCTTCCCAGCGCACCCTGGGTCGTCCCGGAGGTCTGGTTCCCTGGTTCTTAGCCTCCCATGCTTGCCATGGTGGCCGATTTTCTCCCATTCTGCACACATGTCCAAACCATCGTAACTGTGACTGATCCACTCGGGTTAGTAAGGGCTGGGTATCAAGATCTTGACGTATTGTCTGATTGCGGACTTTGTCCCTTCTTGTCACTTGGACCACCTTTCTCAGGTATCTCATTTCCGAGGCCTGCAGCTGGCTTCTGTGAGCTGTTGTCATTGCCCATGACTCACACCCATAGGTCAGGACTGGTACATAGGTAGAGCGGTAAACAGCCATTTTCGTCCTCTTGCCAATTTCTCTTTTGCTAAGAAACCCTCGGTTTATGGCCTGGAAGAGTCTCCCAGCAGCTGCTTTTCGTGTAGCCAGCTCAGTCTTAATGCCTCCATTTTGGTCTAATACAACTCCAAGGTATTTGAACTGGTTAACCTGCTCCAACGCATACTGACCCATCATGATCTGGTGTTTCTTCTCCTCTCTTGAGATCACCATGGTTTTAGTTTTGGAGACACTGATGGTCATCCCTTTCTTTTCAAGCTCTTCCTTCCAGACAAGTAAGTTGTACTGAAGGTGTGCCTCTGATTTAGCTATCAGGGCCACATCGTCTGCAAAAGCCAGCTCTGATATACAGATTGGTCTCATCTTCCAGTACCCTACAGAGTACTTCTTTGTCTTCTCCTTACAGGTCTTGATGACATCATCCATCATAAGAATGAAGAGGTAAGGTGAGAGAATATCACCTTGTCTAAACACCGCTGGTGGTCTTAAATTCTTCTGACTTTTGGTCTGCTGTTCTTACATAATTTCTGCACTTTTTGTAGAAACTCTGTATTGCACTGATCAGGGGTGCTGGGATGTTTTTCCCTGCCAAGCAGTCCCAGAGCTTGTTCCAGGGTACCTTGTCAAATGCCTTTTCCAGATCCAAAAAACATAAGTGAATCTCACTCTTATATTCCAGGGCTTTTTCACTCATCTGTCTCAGTGTGAAGATAAGGTCTTGAGTACTTCGGTTTGCTCTGAAGCCGCACTGGGCCTCGTCCAGCTGTGGCTCTACCAGACTTCTAAGTCTCTGCTCAAGAATTCTAGAGTAACTTTTACCGGGGATGCTGAGGAGGGATATGCCTCTGTGGTTTTCACATTGTCTGTTATCACCTTTTTTAAATATAGGTATAATTATGGCAATCTCCCAATCTTTTGGTATAGTTTTTGCTACACCAGGCTGCCTGGAGAACCTTCAGTAGAAGGCGCTCACCTTCGACTCCCATATATTTGACCATCTCTGGTGTTATACCATCATGACCTGCTGCTTTTCCCAGCTTAATCTTCTCAATAGCTGCCTTCAATTCTTCCATCCTGATGTTATCTTCCACATGATTGAATTCCTTCTCAGCAGTGAGGTCCATTATTTCTGGGTCATGACTTCCCTCAGCGCCGAGGAGCTCTGAGAAGTATTCTTTCCATCTGCCCATGATATCATTTGTAGAAGTAAGCAGAGCCCCTTCCTTGTCTTTTATGAATTTAAGTGGGCACTCTTTCTCCTTCCTCATGTTCTTAAGGGTCTTGTAGAACAGTTTTTGGTTTTCTCTTGCATTCTTTTCCAACTTTTCTCCAAACTCTTCCCATGATTTCTGTTTTGCTTTAAGCACAATATTTTTGGTCTCTGTTCTGAGTGCCACATATTGTTTATATTTTTCTATTTCTTCAGCTGTGTTCCTGGCTGCCAGGTATTGCTTCCATGCCCTTTTCTTTTCTCCTATTTTCAATTTGACTTCTTCTGTCCACCAAGGTGTCCTGTGTCCCCGCCTTCCACTTGGGACTTCACCACATGCTTCTACTGCAGCTGCTGTGAGGATATTCTTGAATCTGCACCAGAGGGTTTCAGTGTCCTCTGATGGTTCTTCTTCAGTTCCTATTGCTTTCACTATAAGCTCCTGGTATCTAGCCTTAATATCTGGCTCTCTTAGCTTGTATGCTTTAATCCTCATCCCTTCTTGGTTGCTTTGTTTCTTGCATAGTTGTCGGTGTTGCCTTGTTGGAGCAGTTCTTTCAGTTGTTCTCTTTATTGTGACCAGATAGTGGTCACTTCCAATCTCTGGTCCTCTCATGACTCTGGCATCTATCACAAACTTGAATGAACTTTTCCTAACTATGGCGTAGTCAATGATGGATTTTTCATTCTTTGAAGGTTCACATCTTGTGTATGCATGTATACGCTTGTGGGGGAATTTCGTGTTTGTAATGACAAGGTTCTGTTCCCTGCAGAATCTGAGAAGTCGCTTGCCATTATCATTCAAAACATCTTCACCATATCTCCCGATCACTCCACCCCATCTAGAGTGATCATTTCCTACTCTGGCATTTAGATCTCCTAGGAGGATAATTTCATCGTGACAGTCATCTATGGTCTTTTGGAGCAGTTCAAAGAATTCTTCTTTAACATCTACTCGCTCATCTTCATTTGGCCCGTACACAATGACAAAATTGACAATTTTATCTTCTTCTTTCAGATCTAACACCATTATTCGCTCTGAGATGAATTTCCATCCTTTGATGTTACTAACTTGATTCCTGGCCACAATACAGCCAACACCTCCCTTGGCTCTCTCCGTCATAGGGACACCACTGTAGAGCAGCATACTTCCATCGTGATCTGTGATTCCTTGCCCCTTTTTCTTGGTTTCAGTCAGAGCCAAGACTCCTAATTTTGCTTTCCTCATCTCCCCTACTAACTCGTTTTCCTTTCCGTTAATGCCTCTTATATTCCATGTTCCATAAATCGTAGTCCGTAAGCCATGCCAGTTCGTCGCCGTTAAGATCCGTCCGGTTTTCTCTCTGTAGTTACTTGTAATCGTGGTTTAAGGCAAACAGGTGATTGGCCTGTTGTGCCTTTGCATGGTGGAGGGGCTGCCTCCTTGCGGCCTCCATGCAGGCCGTCTGGCTGATTCACGGTTACCCACTACTTCCGGAGACGCATGAAGCACTCAGGTTCAGCCAGACCCTCCTCCTTTTACAGCCGGGCTTGGGACCGGTCTTAGCGGAGTTTCTGCCAGTAAAAACCACATGAAATGTCCTTCACTGTTGCAGCTGAAAAAACTGGTGAACAAACAATTAGTCCCGAAACAGTCTAGAAATATGTGCACACAGTAAATGGGTATGTCAGTTGCTGGAGGTGCCAAAGCCAACAGTTGCCACCAGAAATGCAGTTTGTTGTTGATGGAAGTAGTCAGCCACGATAAGTTGGTTACTAAACATATGTAGAATTATTATATAAGGCATTTCACCAGCTCACACGTGAACAGGCTACCGGCCATATTAAATACCAAGACACAAACTCTGCACAAATGAAAGGCATTATACAAGAAAAACACAGCTCACAGGGCTGCACCAAGCACTAAACTAAGTAGCTCAGGCAGCGATACTGTAGACTGCTGTCCTTATGTGGAAACTGCATTAGCAAAGCGCTGTCGGAAGCAAAAATATCTTCGAAGCTAAACATTCTGCCAATCCTTTCCTCCATTTTGGCTGGAAGTTGCTACACTCTGTCCATCCAGCTGTTATATGGAGATATGAAATGCTATGGAATCCATTGATGCTGGGTGACAGGACTTTGCTGGATGGGCTGTCCATTTTGCTTCACCATTGTCATCCCCTTGTTTGTTCCAGGGCCCTGTTTGGTGGGGTGAGAGGCGCGGAATCAGACCCACTGCCACCCCGAGAAGTATGTCGTAGGAGTCGACTAAATGAGCTAGAAAAATGGATGTACAGGCCAAACTCAGGCCCTGGCACAAATCCAGTCAAAGTATACGAACAACCAGGACTTTTTGCCAGAGCTTACAGCCGGCAAACAGAGAAGAAGGCATTTGCTGTGTCAGAATGAAAATGGAAGCCTTGTGAGCCAAGTGGCTTGGAGGTTCAGTGTTGGAGTCATGTAGAAACCATATACCAGAGCAACATAGCGGTCCAATGACAGAGGGACATAAAGGCTGTGTGTTTCAGTGACATAGAGATCCGGTGTCAGTGTGACATATAGATCATTTGTCAGAGTGACACAAGAGGTATGGTGTAAGAGCAACATAGAAGTCGTATATCATGTGACATATAGGTCATTTGTCAGAGTGACACAAGAGGTATGGTGTAAGAGCAACATAGAAGTCGTATATCATGTGACATATAGGTCATTTGTCAGAGTGACACAAGAGGTATGGTGTAAGAGCAACATAGAAGTTGTATATCATGTGACATATAGGTCATTTGTCAGAGTGACACAAGAGGTATGGTGTAAGAGCAACATAGAAGTCGTATATCATGTGACATATAGGTCATTTGTCAGAGTGACACAAGAGGTATGGTGTAAGAGCAACATAGAAGTCGTATATCATGTGACATATAGGTCATTTGTCAGAGTGACACAAGAGGTATGGTGTAAGAGCAACATAGAAGTCGTATATCATGTGACATATAGGTCATTTGTTAGAGTGACACAAGAGGTATGGTGTAAGAGCAACATAGAAGTCGTACATCATGTGACATATAGGTCATTTGTCAGAGTGACACAAGAGGTATGGTGTAAGAGCAACATAGAAGTTGTACATCATGTGACATATAGGTCATTTGTCAGAGTGACACAAGAGGTATGGTGTAAGAGCAACATAGAAGTCGTATATCATGTGACATATAGGTCATTTGTCAGAGTGACACAAGAGGTATGGTGTAAAGAGCAACATAGAAGTCATATATCATGTGACATATAGGTCATTTGTCAGAGTGACACAAGAGGTATGGTGTAAGAGCAACATAGAAGTCGTATATCATGTGACATATAGGTCATTTGTCAGAGTGACACAAGAGGTATGGTGTAAGAGCAACATAGAAGTCGTATATCATGTGACATATAGGTCATTTGTCAGAGTGACACAAGAGGTATGGTGTAAGAGCAACATAGAAGTCGTATATCATGTGACATATAGGTCATTTGTCAGAGTGACACAAGAGGTATGGTGTAAGAGCAAAATAGAAGTCGTATATCATGTGACATATAGGTCATTTGTCAGAGTGACACAAGAGGTATGGTGTAAGAGCAACATAGAAGTCGTATATCATGTGACATATAGGTCATTTGTCAGAGTGACACAAGAGGTATGGTGTAAGAGCAACATAGAAGTCGTATATCATGTGACATATAGGTCATTTGTCAGAGTGACACAAGAGGTATGGTGTAAGAGCAACATAGAAGTCGTATATCATGTGACATATAGGTCATTTGTCAGAGTGACACAAGAGGTATGGTGTAAGAGCAACATAGAAGTCGTATATCATGTGACATATAGGTCATTTGTCAGAGTGACACAAGAGGTATGGTGTAAGAGCAACATAGAAGTTGTATATCATGTGACATATAGGTCATTTGTCAGAGTGACACAAGAGGTATGGTGTAAGAGCAACATAGAAGTCGTATATAAAGCGACATAAAGACTGTAGCTCTGAATGACGTTGACACAGTGTCATGTGTAACCAGTCAATAATAGAAGACAGCAACTTGTAACAAGCCATTAATTTCCTGCTATGTCATAACATCTCTGTTATTATCCATCTCTGTCTTGATCCTTGGTCTTCATTGAGTTAAGGTAGCAGTTCTTCTTCATGAACCCTTTAAAGGTCGGTTGGCAAATTATGTTGTGGTTGACGGTTATATTTATCTTTTGGCCCAACACCTCCGATTTCAGCAAGTCCTCAATTAGTTGCATGTCACAGCATGCTTGTTAGGGGGTCAGTGCATCTATTCCCCCTACCCCCGCCCCCTTCTCCCCACGCACACACAAGCACACACACAAATGGGGTCTCAGAACCCACGTGGGAGAAGATAGTTATGATGGAACATGATCTCTACCTGCCACAGAACCTTACTGGGTTTCTTTTTCTGATACTGGAGAAACCCAGTGTATTCTTGCACGTCCTGTGTCATATGGTCACCTCTGTCATATGGTCACCTGTGTCCGGTGGTCACCTGTGTCATGTGGTCACCTGTGTCAGGTGGTCACCTGTGTCATGTGGTCACCTGTGTCATGTGGCTACCTGTGTCATGTGGTCACCTGTGTCATGTGGTCACCTGTGTCAGGTGGTCACCTGTGTCAGGTGGCCACCTGTGTCATGTGGTCACCTGTGTCCTATGGTTACCTGTGTCATGTGGTCACCTGTGTCATGTGGTCACCTGTGTCATGTGGTTACCTGTCTCATGTGGTCACCTGTGTCATGTGGTTACCTGTGTCATGTGGTCACCTGTCCTGTGTCATATGGTCACCTGTGGTATTTGGTCACCTGTGTCATATGATCATCTGAGATGTGGTCACCTGTGTCCTATGGTCACCTGTGTCCTTTGGTCACCTGTGGTATTTGGTCACCTGTGTCATATGTTCACCTGTGTCATATGGTCACCTGTGTCACATGGTCACCTGTGTCATATGGTCACCTGTGTCATATGGTCACCTGTGTCATATGGTCACCTGTGCTATGTGGTCACCTGTGTCATATGGTCACCTGTGCTATGTGGTCACTTGTGTCAGGTGATCACCTGTGTCATATGGTCACCTGTGCTATGTGGTCACTTGTGTCAGGTGATCACCTGTGTCATATGGTCACCTGTGCTATGTGGTCACTTGTGTCAGGTGATCACCTGTGTCATATGGTCACCTGTGCTATGTGGTCACCTGTGTCATATGGTCACATGTGCTATATGGTCACTTGTGTCAGGTGATCACCTCTGTCGTGTGGGCATCTCTGTTTTCATTTAGTCAGCTATGCTGTCACTGTGCCACAAAGACACTGGATCATCCTTCACACAGTTGAAGACAGGACAGCAATCTTGTGACATCCACAAATTCTGAGATTCAAGAATGGACACTGAAACATCCAGCAACTATGATACTATTGGATCATGGACACTGGATCATCCAGCAACTATGATACTATTGGATCATGGACACTGGATCATCCAGCAACTATGATACTATTGGATCATGGACACTGGATCATCCAGCAACTATGATACTATTGGATCATGGACACTGGATCATCCAGCAACTACGATACTATTGAATCATGGACACTGAATCATCCAGCAACTACGATACTATTGGATCATGGACACTGGATCATCCAGCAACTACGATACTATTGGATCATGGACACTGGATCATCCAGCAACTACGATACTATTGGATCATGGACACTGGATCATCCAGCAACTACGATACTATTGAATCATGGACACTGAATCATCCAGCAACTACGATACTATTGGATCATGGACACTGGGTCATCCAGCAACTAGGATACTATTGGATCATGGACACTGGATCATCAAGCAACTACGATACTATTGGATCATGGACACTGGATCATCCAGCAACTACGATACTATTGGATCATGGACACAGTGTGCTGGCGAATAAACAAATGATTAGTGTTTGTCATGTATGCCATATTTATATACCACATGTTGTTAACTCTTTTGTTTTTTCCCTGTGTGTATTTGTTAACATTGTGTACAGATACAGAATGTTGGAGCTGTGTCAAAACTGTGTATTGGTGTGTGTTTCTGTATGTGTGTGGTACACAGTCTCCTGTGTATATCCCCCCTGTGTGTAGCCACTGTGTTGGTGTGTGTGGCTGTATGTGTGTGGTACACAGTCTCCTGTGTATACCCCCCTGTGTGTAGCCACTGTGTTGGTGTGTGTGGCTGTATGTGTGTGGTACAGTCTCCTGTGTATACTCCCCCCCCCCTGTGTGTAGCCACTGTGTTGGTGTGTGTGGCTGTATGTGTGTGGTACACAGTCTCCTGTGTATACCCCCCCCCCCCACCCCATGTGTAGCCACTGACCATTTGTATTGGGTACCCCATGAGAAGGGTAGAGCTCAAATATTTGAAAGCTACAGCAGCTGTGGTAATTAAAGGCTCCATCTGCCAGCCCAAAGGTCATTGGTTCAAATCCGCATCAAGAAGTAGGAATTTATTTTTCAAATATGACTTTGTCTGCCGTATTGACCTAGCCTAAAATGGGTACCAAGTAAATTCTTGGGAAGTAAAGGCGGCTGTGAGATGTTGACCACTTCACCCATCAAGCATCGGTTGATCTATACAAATAAGATTAGCATCGTGGGCCTCATGCACCATTAGCACAATACGGTTTCATTCTGTGCTTTGGGGGGGGGGGGGGGGGGGGTAGAAGAAAGATTGTCACAGTTTTAGGTTATAATTGTGGCTGTATTATGTGCACCATAAAGAATGACTTAGCGCTGCACGCCACCAAGGGCCCTAAAAAGGACTCCTGCAGTGTTCATGTGATCAAAGGAGACAGACCCATACTGTCCCGACCGGCGATGAGGTCGTCTGCTGGCCAGCCAGTTGGCAACCCAATCGCAGATGTCCAAAAATAGACTGCTTGACTTTTACTGATACCGAGGTAACAGGACAAGAGTGGAAGAGAATGAATAAATGACCAAACTTAATTTGTTTAGGGTCACAAATTGGGCACACAGGGGTCTAGAGGCAGAAGATGAAAAAGAGAGAGAGAGAGACAGAGAGAGAGAGTGACAGAGAGAGAGAGACAGAGAGAGAGAGAGAGACAGAGAGAGAGAGAGAGAGAGAGAGAGACAGAGAGAGAGACAGACAAGAGAGAGAGAGACAGAGAATGTTGAACAGTTCAGTTTCAGGAGATGGAAGAATACTGTCACAGTCCATTCACTGACAGATTAATTCTATGGGGGGGGGGGGGGCAATTGGTCTATAAAATATACATCGGGGAGGGGGAGTGCTAATTGGTCTATAAGATGAAGATCTAGCCCTATATTCCCAATACTGCTGCAGGTGTGGAAATGGTCCTTTACTGTAGCTTTACTATTTCTGGCTTTGAATCAACTGCTACTTTTAGAATGTCGACTCTTTGTTAACGACTGAGGAAGGAGGGCAGTGATGTCAATGCTTTGTTCATTCATTTATTGAGAAGTGTTTCAGACATGATTGACAGTACACGAGACAGTACACGAGACAAAGGGTCATGGACAGACAGCTCCTGGAAGCTGTTATTCTGGGTACTTGCCTAGTTGTGTTGCCTGGTTGATTGATATGGTATCTGTGTTGGTCTGCATCTGCAGCCTTGTGGCCTATGTGCTTCATGGCCATTGTAAAAATGTGCAATAGATCATGTTTATAAGCTCTGGTTCTCAACCATGGTTCACCGGCTGTGAACTCAGTCCTAAGGTTCTGGTTGTTCATCCACTTCTAGAATTTTCTCTTGTTCCAGAACCTGAGTTTTGCATGCAGATCCATTTTACAGATCTATCCGGTTTGTATGCAGACCTTTGGTTCCTCGCCTATCAGGTAGATGCTCTCCGACCTAGAACAAAAGACCCTTGATTAGTCAACTATTATGACGTGCTTGTTAGCAGGCAGTGGGTTTATCCCCACGCCACCCCACCCCCCTAAGAAATAGCACCCTGAAGCCCCCAGCCCCTAAGAAATAGCACCCTGAAGCCCCCAGCCCCTAAGAAATAGCACCCTGAAGCCCCCAGCCCCTAAGAAATAGCACCCTGAAGCCCCCAGCCCCTAAGAAATAGCACCCTGAAGCCCCCAGCCCCTAAGAAATAGCACCCTGAAGCCCCCAGCCCCTAAGAAATAGCACCTTGAAGCCCCCAGCCCCTAAGAAATAGCACCCTGAAGCCCCCACGGGGAAATGAAGTATGTGGTGACAATGTTTAAATCAGTGTGGAGGGGTCCCCATCGGGAATTGCTTGAGTTGTCTGCCTGACATTCTCACCTTCATGCATGGAAATGTTACATAGATTCTTGTGAATTGTCACTGGAGCTTCGGAGTTTGCCGCTTTGTGCAGTGCTCACGACAGGCAGTTACCGCATCTGCAGGGAGAAAATGAGTCCTGTGGGCAAAAACCTGGTATATTGAAGGCGATCTTCGGCTCTGAACTTTGTAAACATATGAACATCATATATCTCTGTGTGTGTGGGGCTGTTGCATTCCCTGCTTTTCTGGAGCTGTATGAACATCATATATCTCTGTGTGGGTTGCTTTCTGGGGCTGTATGAACATCATATATCCCTGTGTGGGTTGCTTTCTGGAGCTGTGTGAACATCATATATCTCTGTGTGGGTTGCTTTCTGGAGCTGTGTGAACATCATATATCTCTGTGTGGGTTGCTTTCTGGAGCTGTATGAACATCATATATCCCTGTGTGGGTTGCATTCTGGGGCTGTATGAACATCATATATCCCTGTGTGGGTTGCTTTCTGGGGCTGTATGAACATCATATATCTCTGTGTGGGTTGCTTTCTGGAGCTGTATGAACATCATATATCTCTGTGTGGGTTGCTTTCTGGAGCTGTATGAACATCATATATCTCTGTGTGGGTTGCTTTCTGGAGCTGTATGAACATCATATATCTCTGTGTGGGTTGCTTTCTGGGGCTGTATGAACATCATATATCCCTGTGTGGGTTGCTTTCTGGGGTTAAAAGGTTAGCGAACATCATATATCCTGTGTGGGTTGCCTGGGGCCCCCCCCCCCTTAGCCCCCCCCCCCCCCCCCCTCCCCCCCCTCCCCCCCCCCTCCCTCCTTAACAAGCATGTCATAAAAAGTGACAATTTAGGGGCATTTTCTTTGAAGTCAGAATCATCTGCCTGAGAGGCAAGGAACCAACAGTCTGCATACAGAAAAGCCAGATCTGGAAAACTGATGTGCATACAATACCAAAGTCCATTAATGGACAAACAGCCCGAACTTTCTGCCGGAATTTACAACCAATGAACACTAAGATGAACCTTTTAAACAGGAGTCAATGCTTCATGTATCATTGGGTTTGTCACATTGACACGTGAGCTACAACTTTATTGTACCAACATATGTATATATGTGTCCAGCTTACACACACGTACACATTATGTCAACTGGGCTGTGCATATGTGTATGTCAACACATTTTTATACTGGTGTGTACGTGGTTTGTTAAGGGTATGTCTTTATGTTTTGTTGTATTTATTACAGGTTTATTTTATTCTGCTGCTGATTGTTTGCACGAATGTGTACATGGACACATTAGTGTACGTGCATCAGGAGGTGATTGATAACCAGGTCGTTGTGTGGCCAGATGACTGTATGTGTCATCATCATTATCCTTCCTGCTGTGCCATTATAGGTCACACATAGGGCTCAAAACTTATACTTCCATTCTGTTCTTTACTGTGTTGATGATATGCTCATGTGTATATTTTTGTTAGTGCAGAACTCTGGATTATCTTGTATGTGTGTATGTATGTGTGTGTCTTCTTC